CAGCACAAAGGGATCCCTCAAGGAAGGGGTAACATGCCTTGGTGATGGTGCTGTTGCAGGAGATCCTGTTTGAGTGTGATGGACAAGCACTGGTGCTGAGTAAGGACTTCTATCAGCTGATGGTAACTCGTAGTGAGGTGAATGCAGTGTGCTCTGGGCTGTGTTGTGTCACGGGGTAGCTGCGGGCAGTTTATCACTGGGGACAGAGTACACATATGTACAGGAAGACCATGATAGAAAAGCACTGCTAATACCAAAGTGTACTATGTGTGATACAATGAAGGCGGAGCTAAGGAGAATGGGTGCGGAGGTAAGGTTGACAGTGTATGGGGGAATGGAGGTGGAGTTAAGGGTGATAGTGTATGGGGAATTGGGGCAGAGCTAAAAGTGGCAGTGTAAGGGGAATAGGGACAGAGTTAGGGGTGACAATGTACGGGGCATAGGGTTAGAGTTAGGGGTGACAATGTACTGGAAATGGGGGCAGAGTTAAGGACAACAATGAAGGGGAATGGGGTGGAGCTAAGAGTGGCAGTGTACAGAATGTGGTGGAGCTTAAGGTGGTAAAAGAAAAATGGAACTGCTCGTGAAGACCTCTTAATAGGTCAATAGAGGAAACCGGATTCCTGCTTAAGCGATATATATAGAATATAGTTCCTGCAACAGAAAACATTTGCCAGAAGCCCTACCCAATATTGAAAAGGGAATTGCTCGTGAAGACCTCTTAATAGGTCAGGAGAGAAGGTGAGAGACTATTGCTTGTGGAATCGTTTTTTCCACAAGTGTGTGAAAAGGATCACCTGTATGTCAGATAAAACACGTGGCAATTTTATGAAGACGTTAATATACTGAGGATTGGTTGGAACACTTTTATACATGGAGAATTGAGTATATGAAGAAAGATATATTGGACTATATATTAGTTGTTTATGAAATAAAATATTAAGTTACTTCCTATATGAACACTTGTCACATATAGAGTGGTGTGTTATATTGGTTTAACAGTTGTTTCACATATAGTGTTGTGGTACATTGTATTAATCATTGAGATTTTAGTTTTTCTTCTATTTGAGTCTTGTATTCACATTTGTGTTTTATAGCGTGACACTTAGGGATCTATTCACAAAGTTAGCCGAAGAAATAAGAAAAAGTGAAACTATAGTGAAAGGTCCACTTTAAACTTACAACTGAAGTAACAATGCCAAGCCTTAAAAAACAAAAACAAGCAAGTGCATGTATTTATTGTTATTAATCACAGACATCATTATTATCATCTCTTTATTGAATTGTTCATGTTGAATTATAATAATATAAGGCTCACTAATTTGGCCCATTAGTTTAAAAGTCTGCATAGCATTAACTTTGCAGATGAAATATATTGCACCACCTGTATGCCTCCACACTGTTACATTGGCATAGACAAGCATTTTTGCCAGTGAAAACAGTTGCAAGCCCACTATGATTTCAGTAGTAAACATTCCTCTCTCTTGTTCCCAGATTAGTATTAAGTGGTCTCTTTTGTAAAAGTTAAATCTTTTAACCTGTTGATATTTAGAGTATACACTTTTTATATTTTCAGTGAACAGGCTTATTTCAGTGTATTGAAAATTCTAAACAATTTCTTCAGTTTTCTAACATCCCTTTTTTAAATGAATATTTAGTTATTAGATAAGAGCAAATTGGGCAGTCAGATTCAATTTGTTTGTAGATGTGTTTTTAATTTGTATTTGCTTTTTTGCAACACCATCCAAACATGCCAGGCATTTGAACTGTTATCTCTATATCAAGAGGTTCACTATTGGTTTCTCCAGTTTATTAATATGCCTCCTAGAGAGTCTTCTGGCCATTAGCATTGTGATGGCAATTTTAGAAGAGGGCCCCCAGCAGCTTCATACCCACTTACCTTCCACCCATTCTGAATGCATGGGCGGACGGCTACCTCTTCCCAGTGGGTGGACGTACATGTGCATGATCTCTTTTGCTGCTCACTAGCAGAATCCTACTGGGAATGTAAACAGTCATTACCAGCTGCTACATACAAGTGTTTGGTCAGCTGTATAGCCAGCCGATCGCTTGTATAAGTGCGCCTCTGCTGCCACCCGCCTCTTACGCCGCTGCTGGTTATCCTGGGCTCGGCTGTCCCCCCTGTGGGCCCAGGATTGACACAGCGGCTGTTTCCAGTGATGAGTGAGGAGAGATAAGCATTTCCCCACTGCTGATGTCTCCTCCTCTCTCTAAAGCCAGAAGTGATGTGTATTACATCAATTCCGCCTTTAGCTGTCATTTGCTTGGCTGCTATAGCCAGAGAAGAAGCTGGTGAAGCAGATCTCTGCTTTGTTAGCTTCTTCGGGGGTCCCAAGGTAACAATAGAGGTCTTAGAGACCTCTTATGTTTCCATAAAGAGGACCTGTCATTGTATACTGGCTATCAAAAAGGGGGCTTGTTATCCCCCATGTGATCGTAATCAGCTTTAGTGTAAAAAAAGTTTTAAAAAGTTTTAAAAAATGAAAGTCTCATATTAAAC